GCACTAGACTTAAACACATGTACTTACATCTTGCTCCTGAGAAAGTCACACTGGTAAAGGCTCAATTATGGGTTGCCACAGAAAAAAAAGGCATCATAAAATAATAGACTAGCCTCTACTACAAATCTATACTAGATCATCAAGTTTATCTTCTGAGATTACCAGAATCATGGGAAGAAATTGCTTCCCCATGGAACTAATACTAATGCCCACCAAGCTACCTGCAGAGAAAATCTGGCTCCATTCACATCTGCAGTGAATTTCCAGAAATGCTTCCTTTGGTTTTAGCTTTGTGAAGCATGGAAGACTTAGCAGATGATAGGCTGCACTTTGACAAGAAGCCAGTAGGTTAGGGTCCTTTGATAGTTCTGTGCTCTGTAAAACTAGCTAATACATTGCTGATATATTGTCAACTCTCGGTTACTTAGTGTATAATGAGGAAAATGCCTTGGCATGTCTCCAAGCTTAATCAAAAAGTTTGTGCTTCTGACAACTGTTATATAATAGACATTTTTTAACTTAAACTGCTAGAGTGTATACATTAGTATTAATGATACATCTTTAAATGACTCCAACTTGTTTATAGTGACCATGATAGAAATTATTGAATATCAGTAACATAAAGAATGTTTTAGTACAGTGGTCACAGACATTATGGTGACAGCCTCAAATGATGGCTGACTAATGTACCCTGTCCATTTAAGACCCTCAATCTCTACCCATGATGTTTCCTTCCCTGGGATTTTCTCCTTCCTGTACTGGCTCTTTCTTCTTGGGAAACGCCAACTCAGCTCACTGAGATACTTTCCCTTAAAGTATCTCTACCCATACAAGAAACAATGTCTGATATATATTTGCACTACTAGTACTTGGGTAGTACTAGTGTATCCCAGTGTATACTGAATATGTTCAAAGTAGACAGATTCTGAAAGCGCCCAGAATGCAGGAAATGCCCAGTAAATAGTTGTTGAGTGAATAAATAATACCTGAAAGATAAGTCTGTAAATTCCTCATTGTCTTTCTTTCTACACTGTTCTGTGGTGGGTGTACAAATGAGCAAATCAGTGGGCAGGAGGGAGGAGAAGGGAACCCTGGACCATGTGGGTAACCGAGATCTCGAGATGACAATGAGCCCACACTAAATGGGGAACCCCCTCCTTCCCAAACCAGGTAGGATCAGTTCAAAGCTCTTGTACTACCCGCATCTGGTAAAAGAGAAGTCTATTCTGCACATGTTAAACCACATTTCCAAGCCAGATTAAAGCTAAAGCATCTCAAGCTATTGCAAGTCTTTAAATCTGTAGCAGTCAAACTAAAAATTAACAGAAAAGCAGAATAAGATTTTTAAAGATTTTAGCTAATTTCCTCCCTCTCATGAATCCAGCTCCTATTTAGTGTATGGTGGGTGTATGCTCCCACATCCTGATTGAGAACAGCATTCAAGTGTTGATGGTAAGAGAGAGTATAATGTACTCAAGAAGAGGAGAAAGGTTAGAGGCTGTACCTCCTATTATATGCACTCAGCAAGGCTTTGTTCCATTCAAAAATTGAGAAAAAAATCTAACTCTCCAGCTTCCAAAGAAAAACAAAATTCACACGCACAGAAAATCAAAAGTAGTTTCTGCACTACGCCAACTGGGTCTGAATCTGATATCTTGCGACTCACCGAAGAGCCACTTTCTGCATGTAGCACAAGGCTCTACAGAAACCCTTACTCATTCTTGGGATGTAGTTGCCATGCCATTCTCTGCCCCAGGTCAGCCAACAACCAGGGCATAATGCATGTATTCTAGGACAGGAGCGGCACACCTAGGGGGCTTGACATGATAGCTCTGGCGCATTACACTCTGGCTTACAGATTATAACTGATCTATCTGCAGTTAAATCCGTTTAAATTGAATCCCTTGCCAGGTACTATAGTAAAAAACAATTTTTCTCATGTAGCAATTCTTCAAGAATCTTAAATAACTCCATAAAAATTAGAGGTTATCCCCAGCTTGTTTGCAATGGGTTGAATGCAGTTGAAAGCTCAGTACAATGTTTACCAGAGTTACTGTCCTTTCCTCGACACGTTGGCTGCCCCTTCACCTTTTGCTGATGTTGATGATACCACTGAATCACGCCAGGTTGCACCATACCCTCTGCCACTTCTTATCAGAGTTTTGTAAATGACTTTCAATCTCCACAGCTTTGTAGTTTATTGGGCCCAATTACGCTGGTGGCATGAGTCACAGAAGAAATGAAGTTCCGCCTGTTTCTTTGTAGAAAGTACTTTTTTCTTCTTAAAAATTTTTAAAATATTTGATCTGATATCATGTATTTTCCTCCTTCTAACATTTATACTTCACTGATATGGAAGAGACAATGGGAGTTTACCAAGTTCTGCATATCATATTAAAGTTATAATTTCTCAATATAAAGCATCAACATTCTAGAGAGTCCACTGATGAACTTCATTAATTCATGCCACTTGATCCTTCTACATTTCAAAGATATATGTTCCAATTTTATTCCAAAGAGCATCTCCCTGTCTCTATAATTAAGATTGCCAATTTTTATGGAGCATGAAAACAAAACTGTTATATTATACTTGCTTTTTTTAGACAATAGGATGAGACTACTCATATAGACCAGGGCGAGAAAATACTGACTCAGTTTAATGCAGTACAGTTTCATGTGAATCAGTTGGTTTAGTTAAGTTCAATCATAAGGGCTATTCTGTGACAGACACGGTGCTAGGCACCGAGGTCATGCAAACAGCAGGAAGATGCAGGGTCAGCCTTCAGGATCATGTGATCTGCTGGAAACACTGCAGGGCACACACACAACCATTCTACAGGGAGACAGGATAGAAGAAAGAGCGGGCATATCTGACTTGGGGGATCGGAGAAGGTCTCTTTCACCAAGGAAGACAACCCATTCTAGCCCATGAAGTATCTTGCATTAAACTTACAGCTCTCCAGTGAAACCAAGCTGCCCAGGCCACATTCCCCTGTGGGCCAGACTGAGTCACATTGACCTAATTTTTTTTCTTCACTATTTGTGCCTCTGAGCACAAGCAGCACACTCGACTCCTGCTGCAGAGTTTCACCCTGTAATTTCTGAATGCTCCTGAGAAAAGTTATAAGACCTCTCTGAGCCAAAGTTTATTCATCTGTAAAATGATAAAAATATCTTCACCATTGAATCACATGAGGATTAAATGAGACTATATATTCTGAAATCATCTATATATATTCTGAAATTATATACACATCATGAATGAACTATTATGATTTTATACTTGCATTGTAAATTTCATCCAAAATATCTGACTAATGACTCACTTTGTGAGAGAAGTAGGAGAGAGAAGACACAAGCCAGCTCCCATCCCTCCTCCAGACAAGCCCCACTTTAGGTCCATACATTGAAGAATGATGGAAGAAAGAAGAGAAGAGAGGAAGATGAATTTCTCCTCTGGCTCTGTGCATTTCAAGTCACAAAGTATTTTGCATTTGATTTTCTTGAGATTTCTCTAGTCGATTCCACATCTGCATATTTACACCTCTGCACTGAATAAACACAAGGGCAATGGCTGTTGCCCCAACAAAATCTCTCATAGGTCAACACACGGGTGGGATAAGCTGCCGAGATTTTGCTGTGCGTATTTGCAGATATCTGTCTTCACAAATGATCCATCAGTAGTTGGAAGCATAACTCCTAGCTAAGTAGATCCAGGACTCTAAACACTCTCTACAACTCCAACACAGACAACAAGAAAGTTGTCTTCTATCACTTGTACATCTCTATTCCTACCTATTACAGATTGCATAATTTTTATGAGACTGGCTGACATAACTGATGCATAGCTTGCTGTTAGGCATAAACTATATGGAGATGAATTCATTCAATTAACTGTTCATCATACAATTGAAAAAGGGCAATTGTTTGAAAATCTAAATAAGAAAAGTCCTGGGTTTATTCTTTATGTTCTCTTGTTGGAAATAAAAAAATGTTTACCATGCAGTTAAACATTCCTTTGTTTTTAGTTAAACATTTTATTTTAACATATTTAAAAACACACACTTGTAAGAAATAATACAGAGACATCTGTGTGCTCTCACCCAGTTCTCGCACGGTTAACATTCTGCATAACCACAGTGCAGTATAACAGCACAGCCAGATACTGATATTGGTATAATCTTGAGATAACCTGCTAATCCTATTCAGACTTCCCCAGTCTTGTATGTACTCATTTGTGTGTGTGCACATGAGTGTGTGTGCATGTGTGAGAGAGAGAGAGAGATGTGTATTTATTTCTATGTGATTTTATCATGTTTATGTTCACATAGCCACACCACAATCAAGATACAGAACAGCTCCACCACCCCAAGGGTCCCTCGTATTGCTGTTTTACAACCACACTCACCTCCCCACCTCTGTCCTTAATCCCTAGCAGCTACCAAAATGTTCTTATTTCTGTAATTTTGTCATATCAAGAAGAATGCATACAAGCAAGTAACCATTTGGGATTGGCTTTTGTCACTCACTATAATTCCCTTGAAATTCAACCAAGTTGTCATGTCTATGCATAATTTTATTATATGATTAATGCTGAGTAGTAACTAATCCATTGTATAGATGTACCTCAGTCAGTTTAACATTCAGCTGTTGAAAGACATCTGGGTTGTTTCCAGTTTTTGTGTATTACCAATACAGCTGCTATGAACATGCTTATGCAGGCTTTGGTGCGAACATGAGTTTTCATTACCCTGAGATCACGCCCAATAGTGCAGTTTCTAGGTTGTACACCAAGTGCATGCTCAGATTTCTAAGAAACTGCCAAATTGTTTTCAAAGTGACTGTGTTGTTTTATATCCCCACCAGCAATGTATGAGCAATCCAGTCTTCTACCTTTTTTTATATCTCATGCGTCAGTGTTAATGACAGAATTAGTAAATAAATAAATGACCCATATAAAAAGAGCTTGTACAATGTCAATCCAGAAAGTCCAAAGGGTAAGAAGGCAGGAGTTATATTTTAAAAAAGCCACCTCAAGCAACAGCCTCTCTCTGAGTGCCTCAGTGCCCGGTGTGTGCAGGTGTGCTTCATACTCCTGGAGAGTCCCTGTGGGCCCTGATGCTTTGCTGGGAGTGAATTATAATAAAGACATCTTTAAAAAAAAACCGAACAAGATCATGACCTATAAAATGATTCAAGCGGCCCTGTGTTCAACATTGCTTATAGGTAAGAACCTATTTTTGTATTTATCATATCTTTTACAACTACTAGGTTGATAGATAACTCATTTTGATTTTTTAGAGACATAAATAAACAGGCTTTATCCATAGATGAATTCTAAAGCATTGAGGAAACCAAACTATGTATCATGCTGTGGCTTTGAACATGTGTTAATTGCATGTTTGTGATCATTTTATTCTTAATTATGTGTTAACATATTAGCATGTTACTGTTGCTAAGGAGACTGACTATTGCAGCCAAAGAAGTGTTCTGGTGTCCTTGGGCAAAGAAATTTAAATGCCTTTTAGAAACTGTAATACTTACAAAGTACCGTTAGTGAAGACCTCAAGGTACTTTGTGAGTGTGAATTCATTAACCTTTAGGGCAAGCAGTAGCTCAGACAAGTGGTGCTTTAAAGACAGATTAAGGGAGGCACTGGAGGCCAGAGGATCTGCTGCCAAACTGGCCCAGTAACTCAGTGGTTTACATCTAAACTGAAGTGAGAGGTCATTTGTTTTTTTTATAACCAAAACTGAAGATATTCACAAAAGTATAAATTATCCTCACAGCTAAATCTCTACACTTGATACTTTTGATGAAGATGCTTAAATCAGAATAAATTTCTACTGTTATGATAAGCTTGAGACCTGTGCAAAAAATTTATGTACTTTGCTTGAGGTACACACACACACAAATAAACAAGTAGATGGCTATATCTAGATTATTTCTTATATTTTATTTCTTTTTGCATTATTTATCATTTATTTTTATTTTTCAATTACAGTTTACTTTCACTATTACTTTGTTTTAGTCTCAGGTTTATAGTATAGTGGTTAGATAATCATATACTATACAAAGTGTTCTCCCTGATATTTCAAGTATCCACCTGGCATCATACATAGTTATTACAATATTGTTGACTGTATTCCCTATGCTTACAGCTCCATGACTATTTTGTAACTACCAGTTTCTACTTCCCAATCCCTTCACCTTTTCACCCATCCCCCAACCTCCTCAACTGTGGCAACTGTCAATCTCTTCTCTGTGTCTGTGAGCCTGTTTCTGTTTTGTTTGTTTGTCTATATCACAGGTGGCAAACACAAGGCCTGCGGGCAGAATCCAATCCTCCACTTTGTTTTATCTGCCCAGCACCTTGTTTCTACCCAGAGGCAGTACCGAGCTCTCACTTAACTGCTAAGGAGTAAGTTACATTTATACAGTCCTAAAGTTACACTCAGCCCATTGAAGGCAACTGCAAGGCTGATGTGGCTCTAAGTGAAAATGAGTTCGACATCCCTGGCCTATATTGTTCTTTTGATTTCACATATAAATGAAATCATATGGTAATTGTCTTTGTCTGGTTTATTTCACTTGACCTTTTACCCTCTAGGTTCATCCATGCTGTCACAAATGGAAAGATCTCATTATTTTTTATGGCTGAGTAATATTCCATTGTATATATGTACCACTACTTTTTTATCCACTTGTCTGTCTACTGATGGGAACTTGGGTTGTTTCCTTATCTTTGCTGTTGTAAATAGCACTGCAAGGAACGTAAGTACACATATTCTTTTGAATTAATGTTTTGGATTTCTTCAGATATATATACACAAAACTGGAATTGCTGCATCATCAGACAATTCCATTTTAAAATTTTTTTGAGGAAACTTTACTGTTTTCCATAGTGGCTGCACCAATATGCATTCCCACCAACAGTATACCATACCTAGACTATTAATCTAGGTATATTCACCTAAACATATGTATATGTTTGTGTATATATTAAGCCTAATTGTATGCACACAATTAGCTTTTTATTCCTAAGTTTGTGAATAGTTTTAATAAAAAGTTTTAATTATCAACATTGTACTTTTATTTGGGACATGTATAAGTAAATGATTTAGAAATTTTTAGCCAACTTATTATAAATCAATTATCATCATACGAAACTACAGCCCATATCTTCATATGAAAAAAGTGAGGCTGGCTCAGTTTAAGTGAGTGTCTGAGGGGTGCACTGCAAATTGAAGTCGTGGCCAGGTATAATCCATAAGTATAAAGCTTTGCCTTGACTGCCCATCCATGCAGATGACTTTAGAGTGGGTGACAGTGTATGACCACAAGGCTAAAAGCACCACATCTAGTCACACCTGTGAACACTGCAGGGTCAACAATATCGAGCAAAAGGAAAACAGTTCTGCAAAAATGACTTCTGTGGACTCTCTTAACAATTTGGAATTCACTTTAACTCCAGGTGAGGTACAAATATGTCTACCTATGAAGACAACTGCTTTGAATGACTTCACTTAATAAGTGAATAAATTAATGAGTTTATGAAATTGAAGTTCATGAAGTTACAAGTTGAGATCAGAACTAAGGACGGAGGACCGGTGACACTGCTGGGTTAGCCTTCGGACCTCAGGAAAGAAGACCATGGCTTGTGGTCTGAAGAAACTGGTCTTTAGAACCAAATTCACTCATCACACCAATAACTAGTTCATCAGACATTTTCTAATTCATACAGCTCTAAATTAGGAAATAATAGCTGGAATCAACATTGTTTGCTTCTCCTTCCCCCTTTTTCATGTAAGAATGTAGCCTATTCATCTACTCATCCTTGGAGCCCTTCTGCTTATCATTTCAAAATTTCGTGTGTCTCTATTACTTAAAACACTTTTCTGTTAGATTAGTTGTGTAACAAATTACTTTTGTCTAGAACCTAATTTGAAATAAGTAGAGAAGAGATCTAATTACCCATTTTCCCGATGGGAATGCTGACACCAAAAATGATAAAGAGCCTTACTCAAGTAATTACATGTATCAGCATAGTGCCCAAATTATTTTATTGATAGTCTCAAAATGGTAATCATTTCTACACATTGGAAATGATTCCCTGGTCAGGGAATTAGAAGTCTGAGTGTCATAATTTGATTACAAAACAAAACAAAGCATCTCCCTCTTTAACATTTAAGCCAAGAATTACTTTCTCCTATAATAAAACAGCAAATATTACTATCCCTATTTTAAATCTTTACTATGAGTCAGGAGCTGTCCATATATTACTTTAGTTCAACTCTCAGGATCACTCTGCAAAGAGATGTTACGACTCTTATGGTACAAAAAGAGAACAGGCCTAGACACAATAAATGACCAAACTGCACAGTTAATCTATAGTGGATGCTGATTCACATCCAAATCCTACATCTTGGTCTTCTGAAAAGAAAACTCTTTTTTCTGCAAACTGCTCCTCCCCCCGCCCCTGGCACTACAATACTAGATATAGAATAGGCAGAAATGGGAGAGGCACGAGGAAAAGTAATGGAGCCAATGTCGTAGCCATTGGTTCCAAAAGGAAAGGCCAGAGTCAGGAAGCTGGACGAGTTATCTGAGGAAGTGGAGCCAAACCAGGATGTAATCAAAGGCTCTCTATGAAAGTTCCTAGCTGAACTGAGGGTAAAAAACAAGTCCTAAACTCAGTATGTTCCACCTTGACAAGGCACTTATTAAAATCAAACAGCCTCATATCACATAAGAAAAATACACAAATATAGAAAGTGTTTCACTGTATAAGTAAACCAATTCTTGCGGTTGACTCATGTATGAAATAGTTTCGGGAAGGGAGGTCATGACCTTACTATTGGCCAATGACCAGGACTATCTACAGAGTATATGTCTTCTGTTTTTTTTTTAATTTTTAAATTTTATTTATTTTTTAGAGAGAGAGGAAGGGAGGGAGAAAGAGAGGGGAGAAACATCAATGTACGGTTGCCTCTTCATGTGGCCCCAGCTGGGGGGCTTGGCCTTGCAACCCAGGCATATGCCCTGACTGGGAATCGAACCAGCGACCCTTTGGTTTGCAGACCATGCTCAATTTACTGAGCTACACCAGCCAGGGCTGTCTTCTGCTTTTATACAGAGGAAAGATCAAATGGTTTCTCAAGCATAGTTTCAGCTCTTGGTTTTCAGTTCGTGGTTAGTAACCAAGGCCAATTTGTCCTAAAGTTTGTCTGTTTTCTTTTGACAGAGCTATTAAGCTTACATTTTATTCCCCAGGACTTTTTTTTTGTCAACTCTTCCATGGAAGAAATGGGCCTTTTTTGTCAGGTCTGCAGCCCTCCAATTTCTTGGAGGGTCTGTATTCACTGATTCGCTTTTGGTTCCTGTTTATAAGAGTTTGTTCTTAATTTTATCTACTCACTTTGGCTTAAGGTTGATTGATGCTGTGAAGAAAGTGGGTAGTAAGAATAAACTGAGAAAATAATTTGGTTGGACAAAAAAATGTCATTGCCGATTACTAGATGCATTGAGCATGCTGAATGTTGTAGAAAAACTGTTCTCCTGCCCCTTTTCCTTCCCATGTGGAATCATTTGTCATGGCATTAGAGTTGGGAATCCCGTCAACACACATAGGCAGTGACCCAGAAGGGGTCACTATTGAATCATGTAAGATGCTGCCTTTCGTGAGTTACAAATTTCTCTGTCTACAAGATCAAAAAACAATAAAATATAGGCCGGCTCCAGAATACATGCCAGGGAATTGCATGGGCACAAGAGTGAGTGTGGATGCAGCTGTATGTTTGTGACTGAGAGCAGGTTAAAACAGATTGAAGTCTCTGTTTACATTTCAAAGTACTCAACACATCAGCAATTGCAACGTCAATAAAGTTGAAGTTCCCGAGTTAAAAGTTCAGTTGCAAAGCATTTTATTAACAGATAGTTTATTATGATGCTGAGGGTTTGAGAGCTGGTCCCTCCCACAGTTCAGTGTCTCTCTTTTTTCCAGTTCGTGTCCGTTACACCTCTGCTTTCTCTCTTTTTACTCCCGATTTTTGTCATGTTCCTTCTTCCCGTGGCTACATTTTGCAACCCCCCTTCTTTTTTCTCTTTTCCCTTTGATATTTTTCTTGATTTCTCTCTTCTCCTATCTTCTTTTTCTTTTTCACACTTTTTTCTCTCACAACCCAAATTTCTTACCTCTCATTTTCTCTCTCACTAATTTTTACCTG